TTGAGGCAATTCATACTGTAAATTCCTAAATATATGCGAGGAATTAATTATCGCGTAATCACGCGAGAATAACCACTCGCGAAATAAAATTACTCGCTTTAATTTTTATGGTGCTGAAATCCATGTGAAAACTCTTGATCAAGCGACCACTCGCAAATAATACTTCTCGCGATTTGTCGTCAGAGGGCCATTTCGCGATATTAAGTACTCGCGTAAAATAAGGAATCTACAGTATTAAGGAGGCTCATTACACCACTTTTTGATGACGTACTACACAGAAAAGTAAACCTCCATTGTTTTGTCCGTTTTCTCCTGGGGACGAATTGTACAGGTTCGCTTTGCTGATGATCTAAATCTTTAAAACGCTCTAAAAAATAGATCTAGACTACATGCGATGTTGTAAACAATGGGAATTTGGTAACGGATTCATAAATAAATCACGAACGAAGAAGGGTTACTTTTAAGTCGAGACCAAAGAGATTGACAGTCAAATCTTCACTACCCAACTATTGTACAATGTCATACCGAAAGCCGCAAGTTCTATCCCTGACAACGTGTATGTATAGAGGAAATTCGAGTTGAAATCTACAGCCTCGTTGAAATAAATTATAATTGACTTGCGCTTTTAGAGAAGTGTACTCTTGTTGGTTTGTGTGCTTGTCTTTATTTCTTTGAAAAATGTATATTTATTTTAGAAATTTTAGCTTATTCTGAATCTGATATGATCAACCGTTCCTGAGTGTTTTGAGTCAGGGGGATTTAGGAAAGATAACTCTTGCAAGTGGACTTTTTATTCCAATTATTTTATAAATTGGAATTTTCATTTCCTTAAAACATTTTTCATTCAATTTGTCACTTGTTATTCATTAATATACATTTCTTGTTTATTTATAACTGATTTTCAAATTATTCATGCAAAGATTAAAAAGAAAATCACATTAATTCTTTTTTGGGAGAAAATTATTTTTTCTAATAAAAGTAATATTGAATATTATGAAGTGTTATTATATTTCTTACATATCTGAAGATGATATCCATCACTTGACACTGAGATTTCTGCAATACTTTCAATCAGAAACTTGAAATAAAACATTTTACCAAAATCAGAAAAAAGATTAAAAATTCTTTAAAAAATATTTATCATATCATAACCTCCATTTGGATATTTGAAATCTTCATTAAAAGGGGTGCTGTAATGAAATCTAAAATAAACTGTGGGTGTAATGAGCCTCCTTAATCTTGATGTCTCAACTGTAATATATTTTACTTGGGGGGGGGGGAGGGGAAATAAAACAAAGTTTCCCCTTCCCTAAAGATATTCCTAGATATATGACTTTGACATGATCTTGACCTTTGAGATTAGTCATTAGAAACTTTTTTTTAAGGGTATTACAGTTCCAAAGTTTTGACCTGATACAATTTTACCATTTCATTGCTTCAAACTTGACCTGCAAAATATGACTATGAATGAAGAAAACAATCGTGGAACACTGAAAAGATCAGACTCCTGTTTCAATACATCTACTCAAGGGTTTGACACTTGAAGCCATGTCACCATTTCCTCATTGCCCAGTGACCTTCACCTTAATGACCTTGAGTCAAAATCATGACACAGCTTTAAATAGTCTGAATCATTCCAGTTTAGGGTTTTAAGGTTATAGCCCAAGATTTCATGTCGGACAGGACACATGGACATATGATATACTGTCAGGGTTGCGAATAACCACTCGCCCACTTGCAAATGAGAATAATTACGTCTGTGGACAACCAAATTTTGAGTATTTTATTGCCCACATCGCGAGTATGAATTTTATCGGAACTTTTCTGGACCTCAATAGTGATTTACTCCTTCTATGAAAGGAACTTTTGTTGTAGCTATTTCTTACCTAAAAAACATGCTCTAGACCCTAAATCACATCAACTCCCATTATTTCTATGCAAGGTCAGGTCTCAAGTGAAGAAATAGATGTTGAAATCCACAGAAAAATGAAACACTGTGGACAGCAAAGTACACGTTTTTCTTAGAGATTTTGATACAAAAAGAACTAAAATTTTTTTATTACTAAGTGAACAGGAAATTGGAGCCCAAAAATATCAATGTGGACTAGTAGTCTTGTGTAAAATTGGGGCCCATATGGCCCCTAAGGTTTTAAAAGTTATTTGCAACCCTGACTGTACACAGTGAATAAACCAAAAGTATTCTATGGTTATGTCCACTGTGGGGTGCAAATGTCAAATGATCTTTCTGTATATTCTTTTGAAATTGTTATATGTGATAAATTTTATTAAAGGGTTTGGTCAATTTTCTTTAAGGAGGTTCATCAAGACCATAATTGCTATAGTCATGACCATATTAAATGTGGAATTACATGCAAGTCTAACAAGAAGTCTGTGAGCCAATGCTCATTAGTAATACCCCCGCCTTGATGTGAATGTACACAAGTTCAGTTATGGACTGACACAAGGATGAACAAGAAGTTGACATCAGATGCATACAAAAATGAATCCCACCATATTGCAGGCCTAAACAAAGAGTGTGCTAAAATTTCAAGCATCTGCAATTAGTAGTTGCTGAGAAAACTGCGACCAAAATTTGTTCTGTATGGTACGGACAGATGCACGGATAAACAGGAAGTTGACATCGGATTCGTACAAAAATGATTCCCACCATATAGCATGCCTAAACAAAGAGTGTGCAAAAATTTCAAACATCTGCAATAAGTAGTCGCTGAGAAAACTGAGACCAAAATTTGTTATGAATGGTACAGACAGACGCACGGATAAACAGGAAGTTGAAATCAGATTCGTACAAAAATTTATCCCACCATATGGCATGCCTCAACAAAGTGTGTGCTAAAATTTCAAGCATCTATGATGAGTAGTTGCTGAGAAAGCTGTGATGAAAAATTTGTTACGGACAGACAGACACACAAGGGTAAAACAGTATACCCCCCTTTTCTTCGGAGCAGGGATATAATTATAGACAGGGATTCACTCCAGCATTAACTTGAAGGGGAAAAAAATTAAATAAATCTACATCACAATGTCTGCATATTAATGTGCGAAAGTGCTGACATACTTTTCAGCAGGAGAATTTTAAATCAGAATCTAAAACATTAACCTCTGCACAATTCTCTTAACATTATACTGATACACATTTATTACATTAATATGATAGATTCCTTAATGATTTATTAAAATTCCTCCAGTTATAAGGATAGGTAATCATAAGTCTCTTATGAGACTGTAGCTCTGCTGGTTTGTACCTACAGGTGTATAATAATGGAAAAGAAAAGTTGCTCCTGGACTTGAAACACTTATTTGTTGAGTTTTACATGCTAACCCTACTGAAATCAGGCCAAACTTCAAAACATTGGTAATCAAAGATTACGAAGCTCACCTCGACGAATGTTATCAGTAAAAGTAATGCAAATCTCACATCATATTTTCTTTATAGTTAGTGTGCATCCTGAAAACAATATTCATGCAAGTTCTGTGTAAGTAGGTCTTATAGTTCGTTGGGAATTGACCTGTTCCAAAAACTTTAACCTGTTCACTAATCAAGAAAATGTCTTTTATTTCCTACATCCGAAGCAAGTCTAGAATGCACCATCTATGCAAGTTAAATCATAACAGGCCATACAAATAATTATAGAGCTACTCCAAACACACTGTCATGGTTACTCATTTGGAAAATATATGTCAGACCCAGCATCCGAAGCAAGTCTGGTAGTGCCCATCCCTAGATACATCATCCATGCAAGTTTGGTCCAGGTAGGGCTTATAGTTACTTGGGAATAGACCTGCTCTGAAAACTTTAACCTGGTCACTCATCTGGAAAATGTAGGTCAGATCCAGCATCTGAAGCAAGTCTGGTAGTGTCCATCCCTAGATGCATCATCCATGCAAGTTTGGTCCAGGTAGGGCTTATAGTTACTTGGGAATGGACCTGCTCCAAAAACTTTAACCTGATCACTCATCTGGAAAATGTAGGTCAGATCCAGCATCCGAAGCAACTCTGGGAGTGTCCATCCCTAGATGCATCATCCATGCAAGTTTGGTCCAGGTAGGGCTTGCAGTTACTTGGGAATGGACCTGCCCCAAAAACTTTAACCTGGTCACTCATCTGGAAAATGTAGGTCAGATCCAGCATCCGAAGCAAGTCTGGTAGTGTCCATCCCTAGATGCATCATCCATGCAAATTTAGTCGAAGAAGGGCTTATAATTACTTGGGAATGGACCTGCCCCAAAAACTTTAACCTGGTCACTCATCTGGAAAATGTAGGTCAGATCCAGCATCTGAAGCAAGTCTGGTAGTGTCCATCCCAAGATGCATCATCCATGCAAGTTTGGTCCAGGTAGGGCTTATAGTTACTTGGGAATGGACCTGCTCTAAAAACTTTAACCTGGTCACTCATCTGGAAAATGTAGGTTAGATCCAGCATCTGAAGCAAATCTGGTAGCATCCATCCCAAGATGCATCATCCATGCAAGTTTGGTCCAGGTAGGGCTTATAGTTACTTGGGAATGGACCTGCTCCAAAAACTTTAACCTGGTCACTCATCTGGAAAATGTAGGTCAGATCCAGCATCTGAAGCAAGTCTGGTAGTGTCCATCCCTAGATGCATCATCCATGCAAGTTTGGTCCAGGTAGGGCTTATAGTTACTTGGGAATGGACCTGCTCAAAAAACTTTAACCTGGTCACTCATCTGGAAAATGTAGGTCAGATCCAGCATCCAAAGCAAGTCTGGTAGTGTCTATCCAGTTAGGACTTATAGTTACTTGGGAATAGACTTGCTCCTAAAACTTTAACAGGGACACTGACGCTAATGCCGTGCCAGGGGCATAGCATAAGCTCATCTCTACTTCGTCGAGGTGAGCTAAAAATCATTTGAAGGAAATAAAAATAAGCTATTTTAAGCAACCCTTTACCATTGTCTGGTGTTTTTTTTCAAGTCTGACGTTCATTCAAGAATTTAGAGGAATTTAAAACTGTTACCTGTCTTTCTTCTTTGGGAATTTTACGAAATCTCTCTGCTGCCGACTGCACCAAATTATCTTCATCAACATCTGGGAATTCCTCAGCGAGATCCGACTTAACTTCCTCAAACCATAAATCAAAGGCACTCTTAGGTCTGGTATAAAGACACCATATTGAAAGCAATAAAGGAATGAAATGAAGAGCGCAATTATAAATTATCGTTGATTTAAAAAAAAAAATCAGTAAAACATGTTTATAACAAATTCAACCTTACAGCAAAGTGATTTTATTCCCGCTAGTTTTTAAAATTTGTTTCATAAATCTATCTGATAAAATGAATAACACATATAATGAATCAAAATTATGTTCCTGGCACTTTGTTAAAAATGTGATTTACTATATAAGTCTTTATTAGCAGTTAGCTGCCTTACTTTTTCTGGCTATCTTCTTTACTGGTCTCATCTTTTGAAGTCTTCACAGCAGTTATCTTCCCTTGATTTTGAGGAGTCTGGGAAAGCAAGAATAAGAAATATAAGGCTATTCCCAGTGTTTTCTATATTTAGCATCTGTGTGCACCTTGATTTTGGATACCCCATATCAGAAAAAACAAACAAAATCAGGAGTCCTGAAATTGATTATTCTGGTCAAAATCTTTTAATTCTGTCAATATCTCTAAGTATTTGTCTACAATATGTCATATTAGGTAAATGTATATTTTAAGCATTTAATACTTTGATTTTGCTAAGACTAGATCTTTCTACAAGAAAAATAGATTAACGAAATCAAATGCTTTGAATGACGTCATGTTAAAGACTATAAAGTCTGTGTTTCAATTTCTGTCTTGTTTGTTTTTTTGCAAGTAGGTTGGTAGATTTTTGAAAGATGGATGTACACTAACTTGGAATGGCCTAATCAAAATGCCCATGGGCCTTTTTGGTCACTTTAGTATCTTTTTTCCCTCTCTTTCTACATATTCCTTCCTGTAAGTAACTGTTTGTCAATGCTAGATTCTCAATTTACAATTTCAGGAAATTGCAGATTGCTCCACATATACAAACAGTTTGTCCAGTGGATGTCCAAGAGCTAAAAAAATCTTTAAAAGATTTAATGCATTTTCAAACTTAGCCCCATCTCTTAGGAACCTTACTGCTAGTGAACATAAATTTCACAAATTTAGAAGCCTTCAATTTACACAGTTTGTATGGTAGATGAACAGGAACAATCAATCATTTAGGCCATATCCTGAGGATTCCTGTTTTACCACCCTCTTGACAGGGTTGCAGATAACCACTCGCCCACTCCCAAATGCGAGTAAAATTTGCTGTAGGCAAATAGATATAATTAAAAATCTGGTCGCCCACATGGCGAACAATTTTTTTCCAGAACATTAACACATTTCAGTTTTATATTTTATGTACTTCCAGTTTTTAAGAAAACGCTCTATTAACCTAGATTTTTTGTGTTGCTTACAAGCATATTATTCAAACATATTCGTAACTGAGATAAAACATGGTGATTTATCCAAGAGGTTAAATCTCGGTTGATACAAGAGCATGTTTGAGATTGTTCTAACAGAAATATTGTAACAATCGGCTATGGTTGTCACACACTCCATCCGGACTAGTTATTCACAGACAGAATTTGAATTACCGTGTCAAATGCATACAATAAAAGATCGTAATCAAACTTCATCACAGGTTTATGTAATGGTAATTCATTATTTAATATGCCCCCTTGTTAAACCATAGTTGCTTCAGTTGTTTAAATGAAACTCTACAAAATGTAATGAACATATTATTGGATAAAAAGTTTTTAGAAAAGAGAAAACATGACAAATATTCATATACTGCGAACATATCAATAATACGAATAAAAACATCAATTAGAAAAATTAAGGATTTTTGTTGTTATTTTCAATTTACATATAATGTGGGCCCGTGGATCACATTGTGGACTCGTAAAATTTGAAAAGTTAGGAGCCCACATGGCCCCTATTTCAAAAGTTAACCACAACCCTGTCTTGAGATGGCATTATATACTAAATTTGGTTAAACTTGGTTCAGTAGTTTCCATTTATGGTTAATATGTTCAAAAGTATATAGAAATTGCATGATACATTTATATGAAGAGTGATGAAAATGGGGTGTCTCAGGTGACAATAAATTTTATGTTTAAATCAAAACATGTGCAAGCATTTTTGTAATAAGATCCATTTATACTTTACCAAAACTTCTGTTTTCGATTTTCAGCATCTAAAACAACACAATACATGGAAAACTTACTTCAAACAAGGATTGCAATGTTTACACAAACTGGGAAGAGTTACCTACCCTTTTGACAGCTTTTACTGGTCTGGTATTTTTCAGAGTCACCTGACCTGGGCTAGTCTGTTTCTTTTTAGACATGCTATCAAAGACCTGTGTGCCTTTAGTGGGTTCTGGTTTCTGTGGTGTAAGTACCTGAAATGAAGAAAAAAGATAAAATACCCATTCTGAAAAAAATAATCTAGACTTCACTGCTGGATTTCACAGCTTTGATTTCACTCATGGTAACAGTTAACTTATTTTTTTGCATTACTTTCAATTTATATACCTGTACCGTGAAATCTGTCAAATCCAAAATGCACTGGAAGACACATTTTGTGTCCGAATAGACAGGTTGACAGATTGCACAGTGTAAGGAACATTAAACACAGTAAAATGGGAATTTAAATAAGGTTCAGAATTCACGGTGAAATGGGTTGTACAGGTTTTGGATTAGACAGTTTTCATTGTAAATTTTTTTGTTTGTTTCTACATATCATTTCCAAACTGTTTGAATTTAAGATTTTATCCTACTGCAAAAAATATGTTGGGAATAAAAGCTGTATACTACAGAAGGTGAAAAAAAGTGTCATTCTGCAGAAATTAAATAAAGTCTTTAAAAAGACTCAAATATCTATGATCACCAAGGATTTCCACAACATCACCCCCCCCCCCCCCCCCCCCATATTGAAACAAAAAAATGGTCATAACTATCACTGTATATAAAATTTAATATGGATCCATCAGTACAATTTACACATAGAGACTCATTTACAGATTTGTACCTAGAGCACACTCAAAAATTACATGTAGAGGTATCTGTTTTCCTCAAAGTATTCCAGACATATTCAGCCATCCATTTCTTACTACTATGACTCCCAAGATTCTAAAATACTTATCCTGGATCAGTCTAAAACTCGTCATACAGTGCAAAATTTAATTAAACTAAACTTTTGTAGTTAATAAAATCTTTTCAAAACTTATGTATACTGTAAATGAACTTTTACTCATGTGCGAGAAATTTTCGCAAGTTTCACGACCTACTCTAACTCGCAAATATTAATTAACGCGAACCAATTATTTTGCTTTGTATTTGTAGAGAATGTTTCCTCAGTCGTGAAAATTAATTGTCGCGGATTGATTTCAAACTGACAATTCCCAAATAAAAGATGACGCAAATAATAGTTGGTTTACAGGAATCCTAATGAAAGATAAAAACACCTTTGGAGTAGGTTAATATAGCATTGACACTCTAATGCAGATGTTGATGAATTTGATCATCCAAAGGATCTGGACTTGTGCTTTTGTATATTTTGATGACATACCTTAAATGGATTTGATCTTCCCGAGGAGCTATAGGATTGAGATAGCATTTCGGCCTTCCCTCTAGGTTTCAAATTTAACATGGGTCCTATAAAATGTATAAAAGATTGATAACTTCATAGTTACTGATGACTGTCACATATATGATCCTTTCTATTTTTGGTCTTCGAACAAAGCTACAACCATGAATCAAAATGGCTAAAAATCTCAATTTCTTCAACTTCTAGGCCAATTGCCATGGAATCAGAAATCAACAGCAAACAAATCCTTGATTGTTTCATTTGAAAGACAAGGGCCTACTCATGCATAAAATTTCAAGAATATTTGTGGTCGTGTCAAAAATATTTAAGTGCTTGTAAGGAATGCTCTTAAATTTGAATCTCAACAATTATCAAATTATAAGCAAAACATCATATTAATTGTGTTTGTTTAAATTTCAAACACTACACCTTCTAAAATAAAATTTATTTAATTTGTCTATGCTTTATATGGAAAATTACCATTAGCACTTTGTGAGTCTGTATTTTCTTGATCTACTTCCACATCATTTTCTTCCATTTCTTCATCTTCCTGTACATGGTTCTGGTGACTATGTGCAACTCTGTAATAAAAAAAAGATATCCTTTTAAAATAATGCAATACTGACAAAACATACAAAGAACAATCAGATAGAAGAAAGAAAGTAAAAGAATAGAGTCGATCAATCAAATGCTAGACTGCTCTCATAAAAAAAAATGAGCTTATAATTCAGGGGGAAAACATTAAATAAAAAAATTTAAAAAACAAGAGGTCCATGGACCACAACACTCAACTGAGTAACTTTTGTCCTGCTGTTCTTCACTAGATTTTCCCCCATGTAATACACATTAAACAATTTAGAATCTACACTACCCCAGGATACTTCCACATAAGATTTTTTTTCAATATATTTTAATGTAAAAATTGGATTCCCTATTGTGGCCCTACCTTACCCCTGGGGGTCATGTTTTTAACAATTTAGAATCTACACTACCCCAGGATGCTTCCACATAAGTTTCAGCTTTTCTGGCCCAGTTGTTCTTGAGAAGAAGATTTTTATTTTTTTTTCTATATATTTCAATGTAAAACTTGGATTCCCTATTGTGGCCCCGCCCTATCCCTGGGGGTCCTGATTTTAACAATTTACAATCTACACTACCCCAAGATGCTTTTACATAAATTTCAGCTTTTCTGGCCCAGTGGTTCTTGAGAAGAAGATTTTTAAAGATTTTTTCTGTATATTTCAATGTAAAACTTGGATTCCCTATTGTGGCCCCACCCTACCCCAAGGGGTCATGATTTTTACAATTTAAAATCTACACTAACCCAGGATGCTTCCACATAAGTTTCAGCTTTTCTGGCCCAGTGGTTCTTGAGAAGAAGATTTTTTAATGACCCCACCCTATTTTTGCCTTTTCTTGATTATCTCCCCTTGTAAGGGGGCTTGGCCCTTCATTTTAACATTAAACTTCCCCTTCACCCAAGGATATTTTGTGCCAAATTTGGTTAAAATTGGCCCAGAGGTTCTTGAGAAGAAGCTGAAAATGTGAAAAGTTTACAGACGGAAGGACAGACGGACAGATGACAGACAATGGGTGATCAGTAAAGCTCACTTGAGCTTTCAGCTCAGGTGAGCTAACAAGAGGTTTCTGAAACACTTATGCACCCCCACCCCCCCCCCCCCCCCCCCCCCGCAAAAAAAATATATAATTGGACTTTTTTTTAAGTCCAAGGGACATAACTCTGTCAAAAATTGCTCGATCGTACCGAAAACAGAATTTGACCTAGATATTTTTATGATAAATCTGTATATCAAATACCATTTCAGTATGTGCAACCTTTGCGAAGAAAATGAACGGAAACTGCAAATAATTGGAATTTTTCAAAGTCCAAGGGGGCATAACTCTGTCAAAAATTGCTCGATCATACCCAAAACAGATCTTAACCTAGATATTTTTATGATAAATCTGTATACCAAATTCCATTGTAGTATGTGCAATCTCTGCGAAGAAAATGAACGGAATCTGCAAATAATTGTAATTTTCCTAAGTCCAAGGGGCAAAACTCTGTTAAAAATTGCTTGATCGTACCCACAACAGAACTTGACCTAGATATTCTTATGATAAATCTGTATACCAAATCTTATTTCAGTATGTGCAACCTCTGCAAAGAAAATGAACGGAAACTGTTGGTGGACAGACAGACAGACCCACTAACAGACAGACAGCAGCAAAGCAATATGCCCACTCTTCTCTGAAGGGGGGCATAATTTTTTTTTTAAAAACTATGAAAGTCAAATGCACATGTACAATCATTACTCAGGCCAATATTTATCATTGATTGTTTCTTCTTTAACTGAAGAATATTTCCCCCCAAATTTTATCCTTGACCTTTGAACTCTTTCAATCACTTCTTCTTCTTCCTCTTCCTGTTGTTCGGCTGACTTCCTCTGTACCACTTCACTGATGCGTTCTGCCAGCTGCATGTACTTAAGACGACAAGCATACTTGATGGCCAGCTGTAGGGTGTGGGGTTCTGACATCATCTCGCATACCTCTAACGCACGGAATTCACGCTCTGACCTAGCTGACAGCTGAAATGTGTATGTTTTTCATATTATCCAAATTCTTGAAGAAATACCTAAAAACATGAATATCTGCAACATTTTCTTGATGCTAAAAATGTACAAAACGAAGCCAGAGGATTCAAGACATATTTATTTAGCTCAAGTTAGAGTTCCTTTCCATTCATCTTGTATAGAAGTATATGAATTTCCTTTCATAACATTTATACATTACATGTAGATTTACTTCTAAAAATCACATTTTTACTTCATATCAAGGTAAACGATAAATCCATAAATCACAAAGGATGGAATATGGAAAATGAAAAATATCAGAAGGTTTATCAATGAATCAGTTCAATTTTTCAAAATGTATATGTAAACCAAACTTACAGCAAAGAGTTTCATTAGAGCTTCTTGAGATGGTTTAGCTAGTTCGTTGGCTATTGATGTGTCATATTCATATCCAATAGTATCCCAGAATTGTAAATGGTTGCTAAGCAGCTGTGTTCTGTGTAATATTTCCTACAAATGACAGGAATGTTGATTATTTCATTAAGCAACTTTGATACCTGTAATAATGAGCAAAGAAATATAACTTTGGCTTAAAACCATTAATTGCCAACAAGACTTCTTTCTTGAACATTTTTTTGCAACAATATGCAAATGAAACAAAGAAATGATTGATTATAATAGTGCATCATTTTTCAATACAATTGTGCAAAGGGTTAATTTTGCAAAATCATTCCTTAACAAGAGGCCCTTGGGTCACATCGCTCTCCTGAGTAACTCTGGCCATGCTGTTCTTTTCCAGATTTCCCCCTTGTAATACCTATTGTGGCCCTGCCCTACCCCCGGGGGTCATGATTTGAACAATTTAGAATCTACACTACCCCAGGATGCTTCCACATAAGTTTCAGCTTTTCTGGCCAAGTGGTTCTTGAGAAGAAGATTTTTTAATGACCCAACCCTATTTTTGTCTTTTCTTGATCATCTCCCCTTGTAAGGGGACTTGGCTCTTTATTTTAACAATTTAAACTCCCCTTCACCCAAGGATACTTTGTACGAAGTTTGGTTAAAATTGGACCAGTGGTTCTTGAGAAGAAGTTGAAAATGTGAAAAGTTTACAGACGGGCGGACGGACAGACAGACGGGCGGACGGACGATGGACAACGGATGATCAGAAAAGCTCACTTGAGCTTTCAGCTCAGGTGAGCTAAATTGTATCAACAACAGGTATTTTCATGCTCAGAATAATTTAAGCTTGAAAATTATGATCATCATCTTAGTCTGCAAGATCTTTTCATGTACATGAACTTGTAAAAATAACATGTACAGACAAGAGGCCCATGGGCCACATTGCTCACCTGAGTCATATGGTCTTACTTTTCTTTTCTATGTAAAACTTTATATGTATTTTTGCTCCTCTTAACCACCTGGTGTCCATGATTTGAACATGTTTGAGCTTTCAGCTCAGGGGAGTTATCAACTGATACATGTATAATGTATTTTTAAATAACAAAATAAAGTGATACCTCATACTGGCTCTTCTCTGTACTCATCTGACAGAGTGGCAGCTGGAAAGGGAGGATAGCCACTGCGGGGCGGGGGAGGACAGGGGGAAACCGCGACCCCTTACACGGTATACACCTATATAATAAACATATATTACAGATGTGCAGCTTTACACTTACATGTGCTCATAGTGAATTATATTCCTTTAAACTTTGTCAAAATATTTTTTGCAGAGTTATATGCCTATGTAAAATTAGCCCCATTTTAAATCTTTCAATCAATTTGAAGATGGAAATGTGGGGAATAATTTCCTCAGTATCCATTGTTTAAGTGTTTTTACCTCAGTTGCTGGGGGTTTTCGTGAACACTAACAATCCAATAATTGTCTGACTTCCCTTTTGTCTGGAATATACATGTATGTGTACATCATGTAAAGTGGTTTAATATATGTAACAGTAACACGAAAATGAATTTATCTGTTCAAACAAAGATTGTGTATACAAAAGTAAATGTACATGATTATCATAACTACCATATGTATTATCGTAGAACTTACATGTGATTTGGTGTCAGCTACTTGTACCCAACTCATCCCAAATTTCCTGTTACACATTCTAACAATTCCGTCTGAATCCATATAAAACGGAGTACCCTCAGCTGAAAACCTGTAAAACAATGGCTACTTTCTTTAGAGATTTTGTTACTAACAATTTTTTCTTAGTAAAGTTGACTTTGCTTTCAAAAATATAGAAATAATGTATTTGTTTACAGAGACAAACTTTTCTCCATTCTTGCAAAATTTATGAAAATGTCAGGTCAATACATAAGAAATTTAGATTACACTTTTACGTGTTTGTATTAAATACATGTGCCTCAGATTCTTTTTCTATAATTTGGTATCTTTTCTTCATCACATTTAGACGTACCCCATCCATGTCAGTGTGCTTTGGCCAGACAAAGGCAGTGGTTGATGATTTATCTGAGTGGCACCCTCCACTGTCATAAGGTGTACACCAAGACACTGGTCTCCTGGCAAACCTAATAGAAAACAAGACAGGCTGAGTGTTTGATTCACCGATTCCTTTCCAGAGGTTTTTATTTAAATGCAACATATTCCAGTTCCCCCCCCCCCCCCCCCCCCCCCCCCCAACCAAATACATGTATTTCCAGGCCTGATTTCAATCCAGGTGACATTTATATACTGAAACTAATGGAAAGCAACTGAACAAAAATGTTTCGAGTATCACACGATTTTTTTTATGTAAAGAGCCCTTGTTGACTTTTCTCTTGGCTCTTATTTAACTATCCACAATATCAGCACAGAAATTATGAGAGTAAAATCAGAATATTTACCCATTCCTCTGTGGTAGACAATAAGCAGCTGATTTGTGTGAGCTGAGAGGCACACCACTGGGCCAGGGATGGAGAAAATGTCCCTCTGTAGGCCTCCCAGTGAAAAGATTCTCACAGACCTTTCTGAAGTAGCCACTGCAATCCAGTCCTCTCCAACTGTCACTGACTATTACAAAGGGGTACACAAAGGGATAAATATACACAAAAACATCACAACATGGTACATAGATGAACAACTGATAAAAAAATCTCTATTTAGTGTATTTTTATTTCCAAATTGAGCATTTATTGTATGATATTCCTTTGTACTTTTTATCTTTAAGTTAAAACAGCTTTTAGATAAAAACTGCATTTTCAAGACATTCTGCCACTAAGATATTTTCAACTACTTGTTCTCCTGTTCTGGCAAAATAATTATACCTGGTTACAGACTCATAATGGACAGGACAGATAAATATATCTCTCTGACTGGTATATCAGGAGAACAAAAATGGTGCACTCTGCAGAAAAGTTAAACTTAATGTATACGTTCATTTTTACATACCATTATTTCTTCTCCATCATCCATAGGAATGCTCCACTCTTTAGAATTATCCCAGGATCCAAAGTGCATACAAGTCAACTTACTGTAAAAGTTCATTTAAATATTTTCAAAACATCATTACTCTCTACAAAATGGATAAACAAGATTCCAAAGTATTGTATGTGTACTTAAAAAAGCGGGCTTCATATTTTAGCGACTTTGGCAAAGACAACGATGCACTAATTTATGAAAACCGCTAATAAATCTCATATATAAACAATACACGGACATGTGTAGCGCTAATTCATGATTACGCCAACAACTCCATACCCAGTGATTGCGCTAAATTTTGAATACGCCAATTTATGTACATGTACAGTATACTCTTAACTGGTTCTAAATGCAAAACTATTTTTCCATATTTTTCAACTTATAAAGAAACATTTTACTTCCAAGTTGTTAATTCTTGTTAATTTTTTAAAGGAACAAACCTTGGTGCTGAATCATCGCTCGGACAGGCAAGCACCACAGCCTCTGTGGAGACATCAGCCATTGTATAACCTGCTGAGTTTGTCAAATGCATGGCATGATGTACCGCGGTATTGTGGAACTCAATGTCTATGGACTCCTCCTCTTCTGTATTAAACTGTTTAATGATCCCAACTGCATTCCACATCTATAAAATAACATTTATACCACTCTATTTGTCATTTACCTTTTTTAGGTTAAAGGTCCCATGTAATACCTGCTTGTGGTCTTTATTTCATATCAATCCTAACTTCAGGTAGAATGATCTGACTGCATTTACAACAATAAGTGAATAACAAACAGTCAAACCTTGTAATCTCGAACTCAATGGGACTTTGGGAAAAATCTTGAGATATCCAAGTTATCCAGGGTAAAATACATGTACTTTAAGAATAAGGGGTTGGGACTTCCAAATCACTTCCGACATATCCATGATATTCGAGATATCAGTATTCGAGCTACCGAAGTTTAACTGTACATTTATAGTAAAACTTGGTTAAAAAGAACTCGCTTACAATGAAATCTTGGTTATAAGGAAACTTTTATGAATTCTTCAGAAGAATTTTGCACTATGTTTCTTACATGGGTATAAAAATCAAGGTTATATGGAAGCAAAGTTGAAGTCCCTGCGACTTCCTTAAAACCAAGTTCTACTGCATATACTGACCATGAATCTGCTGGACAGATGGGCAGGGGTGGATCCAGGCTGGAAGGCTGGTTGTGGGCGTGTTGGTGTGAAACCTGGTCTCTCTATCACTACTGGTGCTGGTGTCACTGGCTGTACTTCACCATCTTCTGAGATCAAATCATCTGCAGTAAAAAAAAAACAAAACAAAACTTTTGACTGTTGTATACAGTAACATCTGTAATGAGAATTACATGTATATTTCTCTGACTTGCATAAGTTTTTCCATTTATTTATTTTAATGAGCAAAGAAGTTCCTCTAAAAATGTGCCTTCTAAATGTTACCTTCTAGGTTTGAGGGCACTGATTCCAAATACATAAAAAAAAATAATATATTTCACCATCCAGAGGTTTGTGGGCACTGATTCCACATGTAAATAGATTGTATATTTTACCATCTAGGGGCTTGCAGGCACCGATTCCACATACATGTAAACAAATTGTATATTTTACCATCTAGAGGTTTGAGGGCACTGATGGGGGCTGAATCATTGCTGTCTTCATTAAAATCCTCCCCTTTACTCTGTTCCTGTGTAGCCAGGACTAAATCTGTGTCATCGTCATCTTCAAAGATCCCCATGGTTTCCTTCACACGTAGTTCCCCAGCAGGCTACAAAATAGACCAACTCTGATTGTCAGTCATATTACTTTCCGAGGCAAAACACTGGTTGTTAATTTAGAAAGTACAAGTTACTCTTTTATCGACTTCCCTAAATCTAATATTCAACAAGAAAATGATCTTTTAAGGCCATAAAAAATTAATTGTTTCTCAAGCCAAAAATTTCAAAATTTAATGCGGCAGGCAGGTTCTTTTTTTGTTTTTGGAAGCAGGTGTTATACCTTTTTTCATATCAGTCATTAAACAAAATGATGATATCAACTTATTCGTACTTTTTTTGTTCTCTTAAATCAATTACATGTACAATATGTATTCAACTTTAAATAATGTTATTCCCAACAAATTAATTCATTAAATACCATATTAACAATAAATGTATTGTTTATCTAATAAAAAACGTCTATCTATTAAATTAGCATTTATGAAAAGGGAAATAACTCAATTTTCTTTTTCAACTTGGAAAAGTAGAAAATTGAGTTATTTCCCTTTTCAATATATCTATAAAATTGATCAATGCAGCAGTGTTTGACCTGATGCGGCGGTGCCTGAGATACTATTGACTAATTTTTTTTGGCCTAAGATTCATCCTGTATGTGTAAGTAGCTGTGTTTTTATGCACCTGGTTTCCTCCTTTAAGCTCAATTTCACTGAGAAGTCCAAGCTGGCCCTAAAAGTTAAAGAATCTATAGATTTTCAAGAATGACATTGTAGTAATTTTACAAAAATATTAAAGCTATAATTTTCTTAGTACCTGTTGCATTTCATGTTTAAACAGTAGATTTAAAATATCATTTCATCTATTAGTGCATCATACAATTCTTTGACACTTATTAAACACCCTCTTACTTCTCTATCACAGAATGCTATTTCTGTCCGATTGCTCGGATTCCAAGCCAAGGACATTATAGACAGTCCACTCTCATGTTTGAATCTGAAGGAAAAGGTCCAAAATATTAAAGCAAAACAGCAATAAGCTTTGAATTAAATACATGTACATGTTTCATCTCACTTAAATTTACACACATTTTATTCCAGCATTTTTTAAAATTCTGCTTTCTAATTTTTTTAATTAAAATTTTCCTATACAGCAGGGCTAGACAAATAGCATTGCCCGATGCCTGGGACAACCAATTTCCTTTGGCGGGCAAGTTATTTGATAACTGGTACATGCCCGTGGACAAGTGTTTTTCCACTTAACAAAAATTCATATACTCAAATGTTGTTTTTGTTTTACCGCTGTTAAAATATAATGAATTACAGCAGAGCATCTGTTTTTCGATGCAGTTGACCACTACTTCGAACACTCGGTAGAAACTCCTCTAGAATTGCCCATTCATGTCTTGATAAAATATACATGAGAAGTAGAACACGGCAGGTATCGATGCCATGTCAAAAAAGTTGAAGAGGGTTTTGGACCTTTCTTTTGTCAAAATGTAAAATCCATGCCGTGAATACATGATATAAACACATGTTGCTGTTATTAAATTGGAGTTGTTGACTGGCGAACATACAGAGTCATGAAGTTGAACACTTAATCGACATTCAGGAGTGTTTTTCATAACACAATAATGTAGATACAGGTGTATTATTTTCATTTAAAAAATACAGAGAAATGTATAAGTACAAGTTTATGTATATACATTGACATGTACATGTATTTAAAATTTAAGTTTAATAATCAATGCACAGTGCAGAAGCTAGGAAGTCTCCCTAGAATTAGAAATTTTCACTTAATTTCTCCGTGGGAGAGCTAGTGATTTTGGGTAAAGGTTGGTCCTAAATAATAATGATAATGTTTTAGTTTTGTGTTATTTAAGTATAATTCAATTCTGGTTATAACGTGGTATTTGATTCGATAAAAAAAAAATTACTTTATATTGTATAAATTGGGTCACAATGACTTGCGACAAAAACGTATCGATCCGCCTGACGTTACATTTAAATTTTGTACGATTTGAAGTCATTTTTTAAGGGCAATCATCTTTTTTCTTACACTAAATAAATGAAAATTAGATTATAAGAAAGAAATTAATAGCTACCCAATTTATACGGTATAAAGTGGATTGGAACAGTTTACGCTTTTTTATAAATCGCTTCGCGGTTTATAAAGCATAAACTGCCCCAACCCAATTTATACCGTATAAATTGGGTAGCTATATGTATTAAATTCATTCCTTAAAAAAGGTGGGACAAGCATATTTTTGGGTAGGACAAGTAATTTTACGATGGTAACCTGTCCGAGGGCAAGTACTGACAAATTCTATTTGTCTACCCTTGTATACAGTAAAGTTAACATGAGATATTTTAATACCAGAAATTGGCTGGACTTTCTCTCACCTATCCACACAGGCTTTGGTTTGTAGGTTATAAATTAGAATTTGTCCGTCGTAACATCCCGCTGCCAGGTAATCTCCTTCAGGTGAGACATCTAACACTGAATACACCTACAGTAATACATGTATACAAGTACAAATACATCTACATACAGAACCTAAATTAAAATTAAAATTTAAAATTTTTGCTAGTTTCATGATCCCCTTGCAATTGAGCTGATAAAACAAAAGTTCCAATTCATTAGATACAAGCAAGCACTTTTCCTAACAACAAACTTCTTTGAAATTTTGATCGGTAAATACTTATATTGTCACATAAAAATAATTTATTCTAAGAAGGAAATAAAAAATCTCTCCAACAAATCTTCAAGACAAATTTAGACAAAAACAAAATCTTAAATTAGGCTTAACACATGAAAAGCCAGTATTTTAGAGAATTACGTCATTACAATTGCCCACATACCCCTGAAAACTGACTGTCCTGTAAAGATCCAGATTTTGTCCAGGAACCTCTGTCATAGATATGAATTTCTTTCTCCATGGGAACATACAGAAACTACAATCAGAAAGTTACAATTAACTTCAAACAAAAAAGAAAGTACACAAAGAGTCTGCAATGGAATTTTTACAGTAAATGTATCTCCAACTTTTAGGTTTGAATACTTAAAGCAACTCTGCAACATTACATGCATGTCATTTGAGCTATTCCCTGTGTTAACTATAGGTACCAAGCTCAAATCTTTTGTTCTAATCAGACTAATACCCCCCCCCCCCCTTGCCCTTTCCACAACCATCACTGCCCCATGGCAACAAAAGAAATGGCATGCTTGAATAAATAAATTGAAGCTTTAGTATTTAGATTGAATTTTGCAATCTCACTACAAAAGTACACTTATATCTGTTGAAATGTAAACTTTTATTTATCAAAACTTTCTTTCACAGAAAGCATTTTCCTTAATTTTATCAACTAACCTTTCCATTCTTCTCCCAACATAACCTGCACCATCCCTTGGTCAAGCTGTATATTGAAAAAAATCAAAACAGCATTTTAATACAATAATAAATTCAAAAACTTGAAATCAAGTTTATATTCAATATATTGTACATTGTAAATCCATATATACCTAACGTCACCAACTTTTGGAAGAATTTGCAAATTTTTCACTTTTTCTCGATTTTCCACTTTCCATATTAGCACACTTCCATCGCAACTGGCAGAGGCCTAAAGAGAAAAAAAATTTTTATTCGGGAAACATTCTCAGATCCCAACCATTCATATGCCTTTTTTTTTTTCATTTAATCAAACTTTAAATCTAGCTTACATTTAGAAATATGCATAGTAAACAAGCATAAACAGATCCTTGTGGAAGAAATCCCCTTGGAGGGTACTCACCAGAAACTCCTCCTTGGGGTCCAAGGCCACACTCATCACAGGGGCCTTATGTCCCTCAAATTTCTTAGTGTCCCCAGTTGCAATGTTGATAATTTTGATTGTGAAGTCACTGGAATATAACATTTACAAATTATAGCACTTTTTTTTCTCAACACTCAAGGATTTGTCATAATGCATTATCAGTGATTTTTAATTTATTTGTAGCAGTACATGATTTAATCAATACATGTTTTATGAACAAAACATAAAGACACCAAAAAATCATAAAAATCATAAAACTTGTGCAGTCAAAGGAGGTAAATACAACATTGTTTTTTCAATACATACAACATACATTGTAAAGATCAATAAAATTAAAATTTTAATGAAAAATTTCCACTGTTTAATAGTTAGTAGGAAACGGAATTCAAACAAAATTGATTATTATTAAAAATTAATTAATAAATCAATTCCTTGCATGCAGCATCTCATTTTTGAGAGCACCCTGAGAATTCAAAATAACTGAACATTTTCCAACAGATAATTGTCAATCCAAGCTCAGCAATATATTTCCTCATTATAATGAGAAAAAAACTTGTCTATGTCTGTCTAGAATCAGATTTAGATTTGCCATAACATGTATTAAGCCTCTTTTCTCTTTCATATTTATAACTACAAATGTTCTTTTCATCTACAAAATGTAATTCCATTTTCAATTTATAAATCTACATCTCAAAATCTATTTCTAAGGTTACCTTGACCCTGCTATCAATGTTGTTCCCAACTGGTTTACAATGATGTGGTTGACAGGGGCGGTGAATCTGGCCACAATGCCATCAGTAGAACCATCAGGAAAAGTGAATGCTTGTACTGTGTTTGCATCAGTGGCAACATAAAACTTGTTATTCTGCAATAAAGACAGAAAACTGAAGTTAAAAGTGCAACCTAATTTACGAACCAAATCCGGAAATTGGGAGATTTTCAGATTGTTTGGCAAAAATCGGGTGAAAAGCATGACCCGCCATGTCATAAAAATTAATCGGGTTAAGGGTCGAAAAATCGGGTGTAACCCGACAAAATCGGGTGAGTTGGCAACTATGTATGTTAAACATAGTAAAATATACTACTAGATCATTAGATGTTGCTCCTTAGGGAGTATATTACATACACTAGCATTCTACAGGTCTGGTACAATCACTTGATTTAGCTACGTAGCCTGAATTACCTACATAGCTTTATTTACCTACCTGAAGTAGCTTTATTTAGCTACTAAATCAAACTTATTTCTTAAAGAAGAATTTTTCCCTGAAAGTGCAGAAAATTGCACTTTGATGCAGTGATAATTTTCAACTTTGAACTCATCTGAAAACAATTCATGAAAAAATCACTCTTGGAGATGTGTCTTTTTTTGCGCAATTGCAATCAAAGTATAAAAGATTTGGGGCTACATACAACAGTTAATTTGTGATCTAACAGTTACTTCTTGAGTGTAATAACAAAGAAAACCAGTTTTGGTTAACATGAGAACAATGTGAAGTAATCATACTTATCCATGCCTCATCGCGCACAAGGTGTGTACAGTTACTCAAACAATGGGAATACATATTTTCCTTTAAAGTGATCAAATGCAGCAATGTTAAAACTATCTCTGCTTTAGGTTGCTTTTTAAATAATACCCAGGGCTCGAGCTGTGATTCACCATTTGCGCCAATTGCGAATTTTTTCCAAAAACGGCGAAAAGAAATTCAAAAGTGGCGAAAATGAACTTTTTTTTTAGATATACCATACAAAAGTGTGTGTACTCCTGGCTATCTCCTTTGTTTATTCAATGTATACAGATTAGCCCCTTTGTTTATTTAATGCAAGCAGACGTGTGAATTCAGGGTGTGAAAACTCCATGAAACTAACAAAGCAATGTACATGTAGGAAATCATGTCTCGCTTGAACGCACACAGCTGATTTAGTAGGTAACTTTAGCCTGGAGCAGTAAGGGGATACAAAATTACTTGAAATAATATAAGATGGATTAAACAAGGAAAGAAGAAGTGTTTTTGGGAGATGAAGTTAGTTAATAAAAGATTTTAATCAATAAAATCTGGATCTATATAGATTGTTATTTTTAAACCGAAAGTAGGAAAACATGACGAAAATTGCAGAGCATGGCTGCTAATTTTACCTGATTAAAGTCAAAATAGTGTGTTCATTATACCATAAACTGACAAAGAGTGAAAGAGATACTGGCTTGGAAACAAAACAATACTTTTGTCAATTACGCTGAATTATTTTCAGTTATATGAATTTACATGCATATATACCCAGTGTCCAAGTTGTTAAATTAAGCCAAGTTTTAAACCTGATTTTAATTACTTCTTTTCACAATAAATTGTTGATATGATTAAAATTTTCGCCTATTTTTTCATTTTTAAAAAAAATAAGTCATATATCTTTACTAAGTCTGTAACCCCCCTCCCCAGGCTAAAATGTTATGAACAAGAGGACATCTACTGTCAAGAGTTGGCTAATATCAGTATCAAATTAATTGTATAAATGTAGAAATAATTCCTATATCAGTTTTGTAAGTGGATACAACTTTAAATTTTACAATTTTAAAACAATGCCTGTGATATTAACAAATTGAAATAGTGCTATTAGTGGAGTGTTTAACACTGTACACATGTCGAGATGAGATGTAAAAATGTGATTCCTTTCATCGCGAAAAGTGGCGAAAAATATTTTCGCTCCAGTGGGAGCTCTGATAATACCTAGAATAAATATTTGTAGACATTTTCTTGCGACTTTTTGTCTTTTTAAAATAAAAAGCAAAATTGTGAAAAGTTGCCTTGAAATAGCTAAATAAAGCTACCTGAGGTAGGTAAGTAAAGCTACGGTTGGTAATTTTAGCTACGTAGCTAAATGTACTGATTGTACTGGACCTGTTCTAATCTCACAAGATGAGCCTTCATTTTGGGTGACAAAAATATATAGAGGATAATCAATACATATAATAGTTTGAACTCTTGTACCATATACTCAAAAGCCTAAGCAATGAGCAGAAGAAAATGAGAACAGCTAACCTTGAATGCGACACTGAAGGCTTTGTCGCCAGTGCGATGCGAGATGGCATCGTCATCCTCAGCCCCTTCCCAGATTCTAACATCTCCATCAGAGCCACATGTCAAAATATATCTAAGATAAAGCAAGACACTTTGCTAATGAAACTTTGCCACGAGGAATGCAAATCTGCAGTACAGTGGTAATTTTAACACCCCTGTACAGACTACGTAAAAATGATATTTCATTAATTTTTAATTGGTGATTTTTTTACTTACTTTCCCTTATCATCATAACAAAGACTCGTTAATCCCTCACTGTGAGCGTATCGCAGTGGCGAGCACGACGGCATACTTCTTAACTCTTTTTATTATATTACTTTTCAGAACAGTGAGAACAGCAGTTCTTGTTTTGATGAGCGCGCCAAATTCATTTATTCTGCTTCGCGATCCCGATGGTTTTTCTGACCAAGTCCCTGTTCCAGATGACATTTGGCTCGAAGAAACGAAAAAACGAAGGGAGAGATTGGGCAAGGGGACGTGCCTCAATAATTTTGAAATATATCATGGTATATACTCTACTAAATAAAACAAACAAGGCTGACTTACATTTGTGCCCCGTTGATAAATAAATTTGCAAGTATACTCCCCCCCCCCCCCCCAAATGAAATTGCTTTATGTGAACCTGAATTGTCCCCAGAATATAGTAAATTAAATATGTATTCACTTCACAAAGTAAAAAGAGAGAGAGAGAGAGTCATGACAAAATAAGTCTGCAAATGTAACTTTCCAACATAAAAAGAAACAAATTCTTTACGTCCCAAATATACCCTAAATTTACCAACCTGGAATATAACCACAATTAGGTAAATCTATCAAAGAATTTAACATTTAGCACACTGATCAGAGTACTATTTTAACCAAAAAGGGGAAGATTTATTTTCCAAACTTGTTTAACTTATTCTAAACAGCTGTATGGAAAGCACAAGCTGTACTTTTAAAATTAAATCAGGCTTGTTGAGACACAATTCTTCCTACAATGTACATTCATTATATCTCCTGTTTAACTGTTTAAATTGAAATAGTTGTTCTCTTTTTTATGCAAGTCTGAAGAAATGAGACTATTATCTGACTTAAGGTAGCTATATATCCGTATACATGTAATTTAACAACAACTTGTGGCTGACAACACATTAGATGGAAATGTAGAGAACATGCGCGGATCTAGAGGGAGATTCGCGGGGTCCCCCCCCCCCCCGGAATTGGCAGAGTTATTGAAGCAAATAAAAAATCAAACCCCTCACCCACCTACCCCCTCCCCTAGAAAACTTCACGTTTAGGAAATGGATTTTACGGTGTTTTTTGTTTGTTGATGTTCTTTTTTTTTCTGGTTTATTCTTGTCAAGAAATTTTTTGGTTAGATTTTTTTTTCTAGGATGGAACCCCCCCCCCCCTTGGAAAAAATTCCTGGATCCGCGCCTGGAGAGTGTCTCGATCTTGTAACCTTCCCCTCTTCTCAAAACAGAACATTTATTTGTAGATTTGAACAACGCAATCAAAACAGATATATAAATCATATATCAAAAATATTCAAAGTAAAATTTCTGCTAGCAGAAACATACCATATACATGTACATGATGCATGCCTTAACTTCATGTACCTACCTTGTTGTAATTCCCCCTTTTTAAAATAATTACCCCCACCCACACACACTTTTTTCATAATTGTTATAGATCTATAAGTTAATTAAAAGGTCTTTAACCAAATGCATAGGAAAATTTTGAGGAATATGATGTTTAAAGAAAACAATTTGATTTCATAACACCCTGAAATGTGTTTTGATGAAATATATATATTTTTTATTTATCTCCTTACTTATATTAAACATGTAAACACGTAGTAAAAACTCATCAGACTCTATTCGCTTGATTTAAAATGTCTTGTTGGTGTTCCGTGCAAATGATGTAACATACTATATGATTTCTAATAGTAGTCTAGCCTATATAAAGTGCAAATTATGCCAAATATGCTTTTTTTTTTCATAGAATATCGTGGGCTTGACTTTTCTGGCAACGAATAGAGTGGACGCCCACATGATTAGAATATGACATCACACCTCCACTCCTCATAACTTCCTGTTGCAATGCCTGCACCTCAGAAAAAGGCATAAAAATGTCTCACGGTAAGTCAGATGATATTAACTATTTAATTTTGATAATTTATAGAAATATAGCATTGTTGTCAGTCAAATTTATTATCTAGAAGTACTATTTTCGATGTGGAGGACATCGTGATCATCATAAGGCAAATTTCTTTGTTTACATATATTTTAATGTATACTTCAATCTTCTGGTTACAGGTATCTTTTGAATTAAACGCAATTTGTGTGATTTGATAAAAAGTAAGCAATATACATATTGCTTCAAAACTTCCTTTTTTCCTATGACCCGGCGCCGAATCAAAACATTTTCTTATCTGGGTCTTTCCAAATGCACTGAATATTTGCATGCATGCATTCTGGTAGCCAATATATCTTTCTGAATTCTTAGGTTTTGCTTGTTCCTTTGTCTTAAGTTAGATGAACAATTATAATTGTGTTTGTAGCACTAAATGTTGTAAGGTCAAAACAAAGTTAATTTAGAGTTCCCAAGTCTGAAATATTTGACGTTTTTTCATTAACGCTAAACGTAGATAAACAATTATAATTGTGTTTGTAGCACTTAATGTTGTAAGGTCAAAACAAATTAAGTTTAGGGTTCCCAAGTCTAAAATATTTGACGTTTTCCAGGCTTTTTTCACTGCATTGATATTTGATGTGCCAGGAAAACATCAGAACCAGAGCCATTATGAAAACTGGAATTTTTCAGCCTTCAACCTGAGGCAGCATCTTGCATTTCTTGGGTTGTTTTTTGATATAAGTGAATCGAATGTCAAACTCACAATTTATCAATAGCACAATGCTTCTAGTATATTTCATAAATTTTCAAACTTTATAAAATTAGACTTAATGTTATATGCTACATTGCTACATACAGTTGCATGTAAATTTTCCATTTAAATCTGTAGCAGTTGTAAATTTGGTCAGCTTGGCAATTATAAAAGTTTTGCATCTGTTAAAGTCTTTACAATTTTCCATTTAAATCTGTAGCAGTTGTAAATTTGGTCAGCTTGGCAAGTTTAAAAGAAGTCTTTGCAAGGATGTCTTGACACACTCTTAATGACTGATAAATAATTATCTACCACAGTAAAATTTAAAATCAGTGCTAGTCACAAGACTTAAAACTTCAAATTTCTACTCAGGCAGTTTTAATATAGCAATACAGACAGGTCAAGGTATGAGTACTTAACTGATTGAAAAGGAGAATAATTCAAAATTGATTTCTCAATACATGTAATTCAATTTGGCATTTTCGTTTTTCTTTCAGATGAGGACTTTGCAGGAAATAGTGCAGAGAAGTTGCTTCCAGCAAATAATAATACTAGGAGGGGTTTGCCTATAAATAACTTGGGGGGACACAGACTTCATCGCTCCTCAGTGAGACCATTTTTCTGCTGTGGTAGCCAACTGTCTTTGAACAGCATAACTGATTTCATCGAGGCATCAGATCAGTCTGACTGTGATGATGGCTCAGACCTCATGTCAAATTTATCTTTATCCAAAAAGACGCAAAACAGACGCAAGAAAAACAATGAAGGACGCAAAAAATTTTGGACACTAAAACTAAGAGGGAAACTGCATGTACCCAAAAGATCAACTTACAATACAAATGAAAGTGATTCTGCAGAAGGTATTGTGTGCACTTCATACAGAAAGCCTTCAGATGAAAATGAGAGTGGCACGGAACAAACTGCAGGTGCTTCAGCACAACCTCAGGAAGTGTTTGTAACATTACGCCCTATAAACTTTGACGAATTGTACCCAACGGAGGATATCGATCAGAGAAGAATCCGCCAGAGGGCACAAGAAATGGAGGAGGGGATAGATGTACAGAGTGCATGCATCCTCATTCCTCAACCTGCCGAATCCTCATCAGATGAGGAATATGATTGCCCTCAACCTTCACCACAAAGAAACAGTTACTCCTCATTTCCCGAGTCATGGCCCTATGGGTCTTTCTCAATGTTACCCACACATTCCAACATGCTTCCTCCCCCCACAGTCCGCCCACATTCCCAAGTGGATTTCATTCACTGTTTGGTCCCAGATATTGCCAGCATAACAAACTGCAGCTACTATTGGGGTGTAATGGACCGCTACCAGGCTGAAAAACTACTGGATAAAAAGCCAGAGGGAACCTTTTTGCTTAGAGACAGTGCACAAGAAGAATACCTGTTTTCAGTCAGTTTTCGACGCTATGGCCGTTCCTTGCATGCAAGGGTTGAGCAATGGAATCACAAATTCAGCTTCGATTCACATGACCCCGGCGTCTTTGCTTCAGAGACTGTTTGTGGACTGATTGAACATTATAAAGATGCCAGCGTTTGTATGTTTTTTGAACCAATGCTTACCACACCTTTGCATCGTACCTTTCCCTTTAGTCTTCAGCACCTGTGTAGATCAATTATTTGTGATCGGATATCATATGACGACATTTACGTTTTGCCCCTTCCTCGTCAGTTGCGGGACTATATGAGGTACTACCACTACAGACAGAAGATACGCACTCGTAGATACGACATGACTTAGGAAGTCTTTTTCTTTCCAGTCTGAAGATAGAAGAGGCATTACATTTTGTGTCCAGTTGTGACTGTACCCAGTTAGACTAGTGCATAGTTGACATGTTTTTCATGTGTACAGTAGATTTCAGCAGCATGTAAAATTATTTTTATATCATGTTCGTTGAATTAAAAAAAATATTTCTTGCACCCTTATTTTCAAGGGTATTAGGTAGAAATATTCTGTACATTAGAGCATTTTATTGGCTGTGGCAGATGAAAGAGTTTTGGGCATTAAAAAAAATTTGTTTACATTAATTAAGTTCATGATTTAGTAGTCCTCACCCTAGAAACTTTAGTCTGTCATACATGTATATTGGCAAGAAAATGTAATGGTGACCTATAATTAGGATTTTAAAGTACTGGTACATGTATTTATTTTTGAACCATTTCAACAAATTATTAAAATGAAGCATTATAAAATGAAGCTGGTACATGTATGTAATTGAACCCAAAACAAGGTTTGTTCGTGCAATCACAAAAATGTCATGTTCTGAGAAGTTTCAAAATTTGATATCTTTGGTCATTAATTAACCTTGAGTCTCAACTTCATTTTAACATGTTTATAGGCTTGTCAGTATGAAAAATGAAAACAATCAATATTTGATCTTTTTACAGCCAAGTAACTTGTAATCTTTGATGATGAATAATGCACAAATAGATCTACAAGCATGAGATGTTTATGCTGTGGACTCGAAAGCATTTGTGTAATTTTAGTACATCTATATTTCAGAATGGCCTAGTGTTAGGTATATATGTGTATCAGATTTTTCCTATAATGAGCTTTTGAATTTTAAAACACTTATTTATGGACAACCAATATTTTCTTGGTTTTGTTATTTTTTTTTATACCATCTTGTACATGTCAACATATTTCCTTACTTTCGCTATATTCCTTGTACATGTTGTACTCTACTTGGAAAAATTTTGTTAAAATGCTTTTTTTTGCTGTAAAATTTTCCAGTCATCGTGGTTTTGCATTTCCTTTAGCCTGCTTCCCCTTCTTCTAGTGTTAACTTCCTTATATGCAAGAAATCAGTATGGTGATGTTAAATATGCACTTATGTCAATAAGTATCTAGAAAAAGTTGTTAAAGTGGACTGCAAAGAGGCTAAAACTAAGGGTTTTATTTTTCTTACACTTTCAAAATTGTGTTTTGGTATGCATTTTATAGGAACATGATATTGGTCTCATCTACTGGATGTGATGGATAATTTAAGCATGTTGTTTGAATTCAGAATTATTTGTAAGCATATAAATCTAGCTATAAATAGACATCTGTACTTATGCCTAGCAGTATAGGTTTACGGTTTGTCATTCCTCTGTTCAATTGTATAAAATTTTGCTTTATCTATCTGAAAGAAAACCTAATTAAAATGCACACAATTTCAACATACCTTGCAGGGCAAAATTTGGCAGAAATTGCCTTTCAACATGACAATTATTTAAAAGGAATGTGGTCATTTATCCTGATGAGAGTTATTTCCCTTATCAAAGGGTTGATGAACCTTAAGGATCTGTACATTAAATAAAGTACCCTAACTTAAAATGATTCTTCAAGAAACATTCACATATCTCAATGATTTTCCCCTTACATACAAAGTTTGGGTTTCTTTCCAACAGGAATTGGCATCTGTGTAAAGCATCAAGGATTGTATTGCATAGAACTTTTGCATTGAATTATTGTGCTACAGCAACATTTTAGTTATCAGTGTAAGACCTTTATAAATAGTGCAATAACATTAAATCCTCACCCCAGCTACGTGCTGCTTTATATAAGTTGGTTGTATATGTATTGTGCCATTGATAACAAAAAATAAATTAGCTTGTCATGGTTTTGTTGGATTGTTTATTTCCTGTTTCAGTGCCAGTAGTTCATGATCAGCTTTTAGAGTATACACTAGCAATGCTAAAACACAGGAGTTCATTTGTTGGTACATTGGTACCTACATGTACAAACATTATATAAGAAGTATTTTTAAATGATCAAAACTAAACAGGATGTTGGTAAAGTACATGTACATTGTTTCCCACTGAATTTTGAGTGGCTCTGTATTTAAATACAATACCAGACTAAAAGCATTTGCTGCAAATCTGCATTTCGCGTTTGAAACATTTGGGATAGATGCATGGTTGGATCATCAGCAAAATTAATAGTGGTAAAATCATAGTTGTAAAAAATAAGTCAATTTTAAAACTACATTAGGAATATGTTTCTTTTCAATTGATAACATTTTAAAAAATGAAAATTTATTTGAAAACAAAATTGAGTCTTTCTTTTTATTTCTACTTTTAGATAGCAAAGGACAGAAAAAAGGTCCTATTTTATCTGTATCATTATCAATAAAGCAGAATTGCACAAACCACCGCAAATTAAAAAAAATGCAATAATTAATAATAATGCAAAGTTACATTTCAAGGGATAAACAAAACTCTTAACCTCCTGAGAAGGATCTAGCAATTTTTCTCAGCATTATGCATACGTCTTGGAGACTTCAACACCTTATCAACTGATCAAAGAGATGAGGATTTGAATTTCACATTACTGGTACTTGGGCACTAGATGTATTGCTTATTACGTCCATGCATATCATTCATCTGAAGCACTTAGAAGCCAATAATAAACGATGTAAAAGATATTACATGCATTTTTGAACACATGATCAAGTAAGTTTCTCTTAGGGGCCTGAATTCTGGAACCAAGGAAGATGAACCCGACAGTTTTAGCTGAGATTGTCCTGGTTCATAGAGATATACATGTATAAAGAAAGAAAATTAAAGATTTTATGGGGTTTTTTTTTCATAAAATGATCACCTTTGCAGGCCTATGACCAGTGAAGGACTTACTGCTCATCATTATCACGTACACATTTATCTGATACATTTCACAGAGTAAATAGAAAGATTTTTTAGGATTTATTTTTAATTTAGGAATATAACTTAGTCCCACCTCAGGTAGAACCTACATGTACATGTAATCTGAATATCTGCAATATCTCTTGAAAAATAATGTTGAATAAAATATTTTTCTTTGACAATTTCCTTGGTAAATTATTTCATCCATCAACAGTCTTGTTAAAAATTCTTGTAAATAATGTTGAAAATTCACCACTTTGAAAATCTGATCCTTGGAACTCTACTGATTCTGTCCGATTAGTTGTATATGTATATCTCAACTCTTCATCTGATCTTTTTTGAGTTTTGCTCGTTTCACTGGTCTATTTTTGTCTTTTGAAGTATATTTCCTACAAAACAAATTTCAGTAGTCATGCAAATATCCATAGCACCATCTTGTTACTCATATAGTATAAACTATTATTACATTTTCATCAGTGAAATACTGTGATTTATTTATTGAATAAAAGTGATATTCTCTCATAGTGTGAAAGGATACCAAAGTGATATTCTCTCACAGTATGAAAGGATATCAAAGTAAGTAAAAATAATTTCTGGCCTATTGTAAGATAGAGATAGTTACTGTAACTAAATCATATTGATAGAGACTAAAACTGCCAATTTCTTCCAAAATATGTTGCTAAAATCCATGGTACAACAAACTTGTAACTGCTAGGCTATGACGTCTCAACTATGACGTCACAGTCTATGACACTGTGTTAAAAAAAGACAGAGGCAGATGGGAAATGGCAAAGAAAATGTAATAAACAGAAAATTCAGTGTTTTGTAGTTGGATATGGAATTTATTTCACTCATGAGACAGGAATTTTTTTTATATTTTCACTCGTGCTTCGCACTCGTGAAAATATAAAAAAAATCCTGTCCCACTCGTGAAATGAATTCCATATCCAACTACAAAACATTGAATATCCTCTATTAACATATAAACATGCTCAAAGTAATTTGGTATGTCAATATTTAGATTATGGAGCCCTCGGAATTTAATGAAGGGGTGGCTTCCGTTTTCTTAAATGCTGATCTTATGAGCCATGCAGGGAGCTGTATAAAAATCTGACATTTATTATTTTATCCAAAGAGTTCCATTGCAAGAAAAAATTACCTTTTTTTGTTTATTTTATCAATGTCGTACTGTGATACGGTTGATATCCGGTCTCGCTTTGGCACTCTCTTTGCTGCTCTCCTTACTTTTCTGGAAAGCAACCATAAAAAATCTAGAATTATTTTTCATCTTTATATGCATGTACAATTGCAAAAAATGCTGACTAAAATGTTACACAAATTTTACATTCTATGCCATTTTACCGTATCATCATATGTTTTTTATTTCGACAATTTTTCTCTTTTCCAAAACTTTGCTTTGTCCAACTGTAACTTCACTTAAAATTTTACAAGTGATAATTAGAAATTATTTTTATTACAAACATTGAAATAAAAGCAATTATTTTTGTGCAGAACAGACTCTGGGGCCATAAAACTTAGGCGAGCTCACTTTTGATCTCAGTCTCACTTTTCCACAATATATTTCTTTTGTAAAAAGTTAGACTGAGATCAAAAGTGAGCTCATCTAAGTTTTATGGCCCCAGAGCCAGATCTTTATTTCAATACAAGATTTACTTGTTTGGACGTCTCATGTCTAACATATAACTAGGCACTGGACACCCAGCATTCACCATCACTCTTGCAATACTGAAATGAAAACCAGAAGTCTCTGATGAGACTGTAGCTCTACTGGTCTGTTTGTATAACAAAAGAAAAGTAGCACTTGGATTTGAAACATTGCAACATGCAACAATAAATAGAATTATGTATCTTGATGTAGTCTACTTTTGTGACAAGTTATATTGAAATCAAATGAAAACTAGGAGTAGTAGCGTTTTGAAAGTATTTCAAGGAAATTTCTATTTTTAGTACCGGTAACCATGACAACACCACTCACCCAAATAAAAAAAAACAGAAATACATATTATGTATCGTAGTGTATTCTAACTGTGTGCCAAATTAGATTGAAATCAGACCAAAATTGTAGGAGGAGTAACGTTTTAAAGGAATTTCACAGAAATTTCTATTTCAAGTAACCATGGCAACACTGTTCATCGAATTCAAAAACCAATGCAATAAATTATGTATCTTAGTATAGTCTTCTTGTATGCCTAATTATATTAAAAGCAGACTAAAACTGTAGCAGGAGTAGTGTTTTAAAGGAATTTCACAGAAATTTATATTTTTAGTAACCATGGCAACACCGTCCATCGAAATCAAAAACCAATGCACTAAATTATGTATCTTAGTGTAGTCTACTTGTGTGCCAAGTTATATTGAAATCGGACCAAAACTGTAGGAGGAGTAGCGTTTTAAAGGAATTTCACAGAAATTTGTATTTTTAGTAACCATGGCAACACCATCCATCGAAATCAAAAACCGATGCAGTAAATTATGTATCTTAGTGTAGTCTACTCGTGTGCCAAGTTATATTGAAATCTTACCAAAACTGTAGGAGGAGTAGCGTTTTAAAGGAATTTCACAGAAATTTGTATTTTTAGTAACCATGGCAACACCATCCATCGAAATCAAAAACCGATGCAGTAAATTATGTATCTTAGTGTAGTCTACTCGTGTGCCAAGTTATATTGAAATCGGACCAAAACTGTAGGAGGAGTAGCGTTTTAAAGGAATTTCACAGAAATTTCTATTTTTAGTAACCATGGCAACACCGTCCATCGAAATCAAAAACCAATGCACTAAATTATGTATCTTAGTGTAGTCTACTTGTGTGCCAAGTTATATTGAAATCGGACCAAAACTGTAGGAGGAGTAGCGTTTTAAAGAAATTTCACAGAAATTTGTATTTTTAGTAACCATGGCAACACCGTCCATCGAAATCAAAAACCCATGCACTAAATTATGTATCTTAGTGTTGTCTACTTGTGTGCCAAGTTATATTGAAATCGAACCAAAACTGTAGGAGGAGTAGCGTTTTAAAGGAATTTCACAGAAATTTCTATTTTTAGTGACCATGGCAACACCGTCCATCGAAATCAAAAACCGATGCACTAAATTATGTATCTTAGTGTAGTCTACTTGTGTGCCAAGTTATATTGAAATCGAACCAAAACTGTAGGAGGAGTAGCGTTTTGAAAAATTGTTTACAGACAGACGGACAGACAGACAGACAGACGGACGGACGACGGACACCTTACTATCGCATAAGCTCTTCTGGTCTCTGACCAGTAGAGCTAAAAAAGCAACTGCTTAAATAACTCCACAATCATTTGCTACTGAATACATTAACCAATAGATGGTGTAAACATTAAATTTCAAAGGATTTCAGCAATCACTCTTGATCCCATATTTTATGAGGATAGCCCTCTATTCATTGTCTTATTCACTAAAATCTGTTCTTTCTATAATCACATAATATACAAGATTTCTACTTGTGTCCAAGTATTGCAGAATTTGAAATTACATAAAAATCTCAAAAAATGAAATGACAAAAACATACGGATCATATACTCCTGAATTTCTGTATCTTAAACATTGAGATTTCAAATACCATAGATACATATATGTCAAAATACCATAGATACATATATGTCAAAATACCATAGATACATACATGTTTATGTCAAAATATCATAGATACATAAACCACAGATACCTATATGTCAAAATACCATAGATACATATATGTCAAAATACCATAGATACATATATGTCAAAATACCACAGATACATATATGTCAAAGTGAGCTGGAAGTCCTAACCCATTCCTTTTTTTAACCTCACTCTCTAGAATCTTCACGTATCTAAAAGTTTGATCCCAACTCAATCGAGTTCAAGATAAAGATGTTTGACTGCATCTTTAGTAAGGCTTTGTATACACAAACCCTTGTAAATGGTACCAAATACATAATAAATCTGCAC